CGCACCAACCTGTATACAAGTTAGATAAACTTTGTCAGCCCATCAAAGCTTTTCCCTTCATATTCTCTTTCTTTACTAAGAGCAAAAGAAAGTGATAATCTTATATCCAATACAAAACCACTGATACTACCAAGAAAACAAAACGAAAAACTAACTAAAAAAAACAAATAAAACAAAGGGGAATTTTAAAGGACAAAATAAAAGGGGTATAATGAAATGTAAAAAAAGAAAATCAAAAAGAAAAGCCCGAGGGTCAACAAAGAGAAACTACCTCTATCAAGAAGCATTACAAATGGAACAAAAGAAAATACACTATTATAACCCGTGCCAGGTTTAAAAAAAAATTTTATAACAACTGCAACGTTTGTATATCTCGACTAAAAAATCTAACAAATTATTATCCGACTACCGACTATCTCTGGACGCTACTAGAAACCTGATCCCAGTCACGTGTAGGTCCCGTCTCCGTAGACTATGTCACGTCACATATCCATCGATAAACAAGGCACGTAGTTGCATTTCTGGGTACTTCCGAATTTGGGAGGTAAACAATGCCAATCTTTTGAAGAGGGTAAGCCAAATCGCCTACTTTTTGTCAAAAAATTTGGAGAAGATCGGCCAAGCGAAAAACACCTAGGGAGAGACCACTTATACCCAAGGAAAGTAGTTATATCCATGTAAAGACTCAACCACTCCTTAACCTTCTTCTAAGAAAGGGTGGACACCTATACTTTCTTTTCGGTGAGTAATAAACTCTGGGCTTGTCGGCAAGTAGCATATAAGAACTACTTCTAAACAACAAGGGCTGTATAAGCAGTGAGTAATAAACTCTGAAGAAGTTAGCAGATAGCATATGAGAACTACCTCTAAATAACAACTGTCGACTTATAGCTAGTAGCATGCCTCTATTTTTTACAAAGTGCTATTGTGTTTTTACAAAAAAATATGTTTAGATTTTTAGTACAGATAATCGTCGGAAAGAGTTGTTGTATAAAATCTTCATTTTTTTAATACTTTTATTTGTTCATTTATTTTAGATACAGTATATAATATTGTAAAAATTGACTTTAAAAAAAAATCTGAATCTGAGAGTGCCGAGTTTGACTTTCATATTAAGAAAGTAACTGCTTATGATGTAGAAAATAATATTCTTGAGGAAATTCATAAGTTTTCTCTCTCATTTCAACACTTGCTCACGAAAGAAGCCTGTGCTATAATTACAAGGCTTGAAAAAGGGAAGAGCACACCAGGTCTAACCTCTTTTGATTGTTACTACATATTCTGTAACCAATATTTGTTACCATATAAATATATTTTCCATAAACATATATATGGTAGCACTAAGCTATTAACTACTGATGTATAGAAGTCATTTCAAGAAGTATTTGAAAAAAATGTATTTGAGATATATGAAAGTTGTGAATTGTTTATAGAAACTGTGCGAACAGAGCAACAAAAAAAGGCTGAAGATCTAAGACTTACTGTAGTTGAATTAACTAAAAGAATAAAGGATAGGTATTGGAAAGTCGAAAAGGCAGGTGATGTTGAAAGAATGGAGACTTATATCTCTATGTTAGAAGCTTCCTTAAATCAAATTATGTTGCAATTTAATGAAAAAAAGTAAATTAGTATTTTTGTACTACTAAGCGAAAAAGATTTAAATAAAATATGAGAACATGAATACTTTCAAATTTTTGTTTTCAATTTAATGAAAAAAAAAAATAATAATAATAATTGATATAAATTACATTATAAAATATGTACTCTATTTATTTTATTTAACTTTATTATTTTTTTTTGCGCATTCAATATTGGGTAAGTATAAAGAACATTTATTAATCAACATGTTTAATATTTATTATTTTAAATTTTTCACATCAATTTAGTAATCAAACATTTTAAGATAAGGTATTCAAATTTATTAATATTAAGTACCTCACAAATTTTAATTTATTCACATTTATTTGAGTATAAAAACTTCTATTAATCAAAGTGTTTTAGAATAGGATATTCAAAAATTTGAAGATTTATAATTACAGAGTATCTTATTGACTTTGATTTTTTGCATCAATATAATGGATAAGTATAAAAAGTATTTGCTAATCAACCTATTTAAATAAACAAATTCATGAAGTTTGCTATAATAGAATATCTTATTAATTTTATTTTAATATGAATTAATTTAAATATAGGTTATGTTTATTATTAGAAGTATTTAGAATAATTATTTTAAATTCTTCAAGTTCATTTTACTCAAATATTTATTAATTGAAACAGTTAAACTGAATATTCAATTTTGATGATTCTTATTACAAAATATTATAATTTTATTTTTTCATACTGGGTGAGTATAAAGAACGTTTACTAATCAAAGTGTTTAAATAAGTTAATTGATGATCCGCCAGTCATCTGGACAAAAATATGATGGAGATCATATATAGACAAGGCCCGAATTGAAATTTTTAGGTTATATATAAAGTTACAAAATTTTTATATAAATATGGTATTAAAGTAACACAAATGATAGAGCAAAACTGTAAGCTTTCGATCATAAGGTTGTTAAATATATTTTTTTTTTCTTGGTAATTTTTACTTTGTAAGCACGCGGCATTTACTATGATAAACCTTGTCTTAATTAGATAACAAGGTAATTAGCAATACTTTATTCTTAATACATTTTGTTGATTTTTTTTAAAAATTTTTAGGTTTTTAGAAGTACATTACGCTTAAAAATAATATCAAAAACTAGATCCATGGAATGTTACTAATTATATTGTACAAGTATGAAATTTTAATATATAGTAGATATTATGTGATCAAATAAAAGTTCGTATTACCTAATCTTTTTTTTTTTATAGTTGTTCCAATGCCTCTTGACGTGCTTGATCTTCAAGAGGCAAAAAGGTATTAGCAAATGCAATATGCAAGAATAATAATCTTGCAGGTGCACTTTATAAAAAACATTATATTAATTTGAATAGAGCGCTAATACTCTTAAATCAAGAAGAAAAGAAGCATTAGCAAGTGCAGTTTGCAAAAATATCAAGTTAACTTGTTTGCAAATTAAATATTAGAAATACACTAGTGAATGAATTAATAAGAACCCCACGCTAACTTTTTTTTTTTTAATAATTTTAGATTGAGGTCTAAATATTATAGTGCACCTTACAAGAACATCATGTTGACCTTTTCTTTGGGCCTAAGTAACAGTACTTTTGGATCATCTTATAGAAATGCTATACTAACTTTTTTAAGATAAGTGTTATAGTTTTAGATTACAAGGTGGGATAGTATTAGTAGGCACACTTTGCAAGAAAACTACATTGACTTTTTTAGAGCATGATATGCTAACAATAATTCATACTGCATGTGTGTCACCTCTGTAGTCCATAAGTTAATAAGATTTTTTTTTTTTGAATAAATTTACCTATAACAGCTTCGGACTCGGGTGGTCAGCTGTTGAGCTAACCAATTTATTTATTTTTTTTATAGCATCGTTTTGTTATTGGTGCCTCTATTTACATCGTAGGTATTGTCGTAATTGGTGTAGTAGTGTTTCACTTTCGCTGGTACCGTGTCATTGCTGCTGTAGAGGTCGTAAAGGTCTTTTTATAATTGTTTTATTGGGCTGTAGTTTCATCGTTTGCTAGTGGAGTCGTGTTCAGTGTTTTGTATTGCTTTCTTTCACTAACCAATTTTTTTTTTCTTATAGCCACGTTGTTAGATGATTGTTTCATTGTTTGCTGATAGTGTCGTATTCAGTGCTGTCATTGTGTTATTGGTGTCGCTGTAATTGGTCATTGATGTTATACGGTCTTTTTATAATCGCTTTATTGAGCTGTCATTTTATCGCTTACTGGTGGAGTTGTGTTCAGTGCTTTATATTGCTTTTCTTTCTTCACTAATCAGTTGTTTCTTTTTTATAGTTGCATCATTGGATTGTTGCTTCATCATTTGTTAGTGGAGTCATATTCAGTGCTTAATATTGCTTTTCTTTCATTCACTAACCAGTTTTTTCTTTTTTCTTACAGTCACCTCTTTGGATTATTGTTTCATCATTTGCTGGTAGAGTTATGTTTAGTATTGCTGTTTCCTGGAGGTTATTATTAATTAGTAGAGTCGTATGTTTGCCACTATAGAGTTGTTGTTCCAATATTGCAATTTTTGGAGTCATGGAGTTATATGCGGTATTACTATTTCTTAAGTCATTGAAGTTTAGCGCGATTTTATCACTTTAGTATTATTACTAAAGTCGTACTATATATTCTCATTGGGTGTCATCTTTTATGATTAATAGTGGGTTTTTTTAATATAAATAAGGTTTTTTGATGAATAGACTTAGGGTTAGTGTGAGCGATTAGGTTAGTGGTTAGAACAAAATAGATTTTATATGAATTGTATTTTTTGCATGATTATGTAATAAAATCAAATTTTTTTTTTTTTTTTTAAGTGAGGTCTTTTCCTCAGTTCCTTTATTATTCATTATGCAGATATTACATAGTAAGTT